GTCACATCCTGGTCCTTGAGAAAGCCAGGCAGAGTAATCAAACACAGATCCACAGATTTATGTTTCACTTTGGTGAAGTTTCCCTTCTGTATGTAACAGAGTTGATGCAATCCACCGTAAGTGACAAAAGACAGTTATTTTATTGCAGTGATTAATTTTACCTATAGTAAATGTTACATTTACATGCCATCATGGATCAGTCAGCAGCAGCATCTGATGAATATGTGATCCATGATGTAATGCAAATGTAACATTTTCTACATATAGGTCAAATTAATCACTGCAATAAAATAACTTTGTTTTTGTCACTTACAGTGGATTGCATCAACTCTGTTACATACAGAAGGGAAACTTCACCAAAGTGAAACATAAATCTGTGGATCTGTGTTTGATTACTCTGCCTGGCTTTCTCAAGGACCAGGATGTGACACAAAAATCTGAATTATGGAACTGAAAGTGAAAGTAGTCAAACTGGATTTTTAATAAACCAAAATACATTTTCAAAGCAAATTAATTCATGTTCAAAACTTTAAATTCAGTTTCAAATCATTAAATTCAGTTTCAGTTTAGTAAAATTCATTTTCAAACCACTGCATTCAATTTCAAATTCAGTTCCTGCTGGCACAAGATTTATCCCATAATCAGGCTCCGTTGCATTCAGAACTCTGTRCTTTAGTTTCATGCTCATCAGAATTCATGAAGCTCAGAGCCATCCAAGCAGTAGATTCTATCAGCTTCAACTTTTTTATGGATTTCATCAGGATGGAGACCAGCAACGGTGTGAAACACRGAACTAATATCTGCACAAACGTACCTCTGTGGAGGTACTGAAGAAGCAGGGTCAGGTAAAGATAACGTTTAACTGTTAAATTAGGTTTAAAAGAATACAAGATTAACACTCAGTCCACGGCTACTGAAAGATTTCCTCTTTATAAAGTGAAGCTGGCAGCAGGTTGCTCCTCTTCCTCAGTTTYTTTTGACATGCAGTTATGATCAGCTTTCAGGTGCATAGTTCACCTGATGTGGAGGTAAAAACCTTCAAAATAAAGATGAAATCCTGCAGTTTGTTTCATTTTATGTTCATCATGGTGTTTACAACCAAAATGATGAGAATTGTGTCCATGTCCCAATATTTATGGACCTGACTGTAGATGATTATTTCACAAAGATAAATGTTGTGAAATAATGTTAAAATCTTTGACTGAGTTACTGAACAGTGTTTTATCTGATGTGCTGTTTGTTTGTAGAGCAGCGTGGATCGATAAGTGTCGTCCAGACATCCTGATATCAGAGTCAACCTACGCCACGACCATCAGGGACTCCAAAAGGTGCAGAGAGAGGGACTTCCTGAAGAAGGTGCATGAATCTATAGAGAGAGGAGGGAAGGTAAAAATACACAGAGGGTCYAACATCACATTGATCAGTGGGTTGTCTTACAACCTGCAGTTGAAAYAGATTTACAAACTTTCTCAAGTTTTTGTTTCTGAAATGTTCCAGGTTCTTATTCCGGTTTTTGCTCTGGGTCGAGCACAAGAACTCTGCATCCTGCTGGAAACATTTTGGTACAGTTTACTTTTAAAAGAAGCTYCTTAATTAGAAATACAAAATCTTTATTCATTAGTCCTTTTAAAGGGGACAAATCATGTAAAATCCACTTTTTAGCTGTTAAATACATATTATTGTGTACTCTGAGTCTCTAGGAGGCAGAAAAGTTTCATTTAGTCTCTCCTGGTTCTGAAAAGATATCTTTATTTTCTGTTTGGGTCATAATTTTCAGCCAGTCAGTTTTCTGTATTTTCTGTGACGTTTGAGCTTTAATGTYCAATTATCTGAACTTACCAGCTACTATTTCCTCAAATAATTCTCCTCTGGTTCTGGCTCAGACTCTGGTTCTGGATCWGATTCTGGTTCTGGCTCAGATGGACAAATCTTCTGTTGCTGACATCATTTAATTAAATTATAAATAAAATGTTTCTGCATTGCCAGAAAATGTATCCCCATCTCTCAAAGCGGAGTGGACCGGTCTGGAAGCCGGAGGGGGGCGGGGCTTGAAGCAGCTTAAAAGAACAGTAACAAAACGAGCTGCTTTGAGAAACACGCACCAGACAAGTGGTGAAAGAGGAGCTGGTAAAGTTAAAATAATTGAACCGTTCCACTTTATAAAGACCCAACTGAAGGATCTAAATGTGAAAAGGAAGGAAAAAGTCAATAAAAAAAATAATGTCTACTTTAATGTTAGAATATGTAGAATCAGTTTGTTCTCTGGCTGAATGATATCAGATAAAGAGTTATTTTTAAACCTCATCATTGCTCTCAGTCCAGCTAAAGGAAATTAAAAACTCAGTGATTAAATAAAAATAATCAAGGCAGCATTTTTATTCCTTCAGTTTAAAAGCTAAATTGCAACATTTGAACTTTTTCATTGGCTAATTGGACTGTCTCTGTGACCCTCCTCTCACACAGGGAGAGAATGAACCTAAAGGCTCCCATCTACTTTTCCACTGGGCTGACAGAGAAAGCCAATCATTACTACAAGCTGTTCATAACATGGACAAACCAGAAGATTAGAAAAACCTTCGTTCAGAGAAACATGTTTGAGTTTAAACACATCAAAGCCTTCGATCGCTCCTACGCTGACAATCCTGGACCAATGGTGAGTTGTTTTCCAGCTTCATGTCTGTTAAAGTTCGGGCAGCAGTGACACTCATGATGTGGGCTGTGTTTCAGGTGGTGTTTGCCACGCCGGGTATGTTGCACGCTGGTCAGTCCCTACAGATATTCAAGAAATGGGCAGGGAATGAGAAGAATATGGTGAGTCTCATAGAGCTGGTATCTTTGTTCCTGAGAGTCTTCAGAAGATTGAAACAACTTTTCACTGCAGGTGATCATGCCTGGGTACTGTGTTCAAGGAACTATTGGTCATAAGATCCTAAACGGACAGAGGAAACTGGAAATGGAAGGAAGAACAACCGTAAGATTCAGCCTCCATCTGCTCAATCAWAAACTTATTTATTGTATGGAAGTTTATGTTGATGGTTCTGTGAGAAAGTGCAAAAACTGTGTGCAGAAAACCAAATTCAGTTCCCAGTTTAAAGGTTTATTCTCATCTCATGCTCAGAGCTGTGTGTAGCTCTGAGTTTAATCAGAACACTAAAACATTGGCTCCTAACTTCTGCTGCTGGTTACGCTAAAGTTTTCTGTGTCCTTAACAAACTCAAARTATTGCAGAGCACCCTGCTGGAGGGGCTGAACCTTCATCAGCACTGATACCMCAGAGATCCTAAACAAGTCTTTGTTCATCAAGCAGAGGAACAAGAGAGATGTGCTGATTCTGTCCCTGTTAAAGTAAATGACTTCAATCACAAAACAGTCAGATGTAAGACTGTACCTAGAATTCAGTCAATCAGTCAGAAACTTTGCCTCAGTACAGCCAGTGAAGAATAATAACGAGACACATTGTTGAACACGTTCCCTTAAACACCAGAAATACATCGGGTAAAATAAGTATTGAACACGTCACCATTTTTCTCAGTAAATATATTACTAGAGGTGCTAATGAC